ATCCATCAATCCATCTACTGGACATATTTTTATTGAGCATTTATTTTGGGTTGTGGATATGAGATCGCATTGGTGAGGTGACTATGGACTTGGAGCTCAGAATCAGCAGGGCAAAGATGGGAAAGGGTATAGGTGGTTTATAGTCTCACTTGTGCAGGATTTTGTTTATAATATTTTAATTTTATTAAAGTTTTAGTTCTATGCTTTATACATACATTTTTTTTAAATCACCCTAATTTTACTGGGTTAATTTTTTTTATTAATTGTGAATCTTCTTTTAATACCTTTATTGAATAGTTAGTAAAAACTGAAAACTAAGCTAGGGGCTGGAATTATAAAGATGACTTCTACACCCAAAGGTGGATTCAGCAGGCACCAGAGACCAAACACAGAGAATCCTGCTCCCTGGCATCAGCCTCTGCACAGCAGCTCCTCTGCTATAGTCACAGCCATCCCTCACAGCCAGTCAGCCTGAGGGGCCGTCCCTTTCATTGAGGTGCCAGCAGTAATCATGGCTCAGCTACAACAGGAGGGCACACACAACCCACACAGGGCACACACCTGGAGCACTAACTCAGTTGACAGGCAGACTACCACTGACCCCCCCAGGACACTTACTACATAAGGGCACACTGCCAGGACTGGGAGATGTAGCACATCTTCCTAATACATAGAAACAAACCCAAAGAGTCCCCCAAAATGAGGAGACAAACATGTCCCAAATGAAAGAACAAAACAAAATTCCAGAAAAAAAACTAAACAAAATGGAGACAAGCAATCTACCAGATGCAGAGTTCAAAACACTGGCTATAAGGATGCTCAATGATCTCAGTGAGAACTTCAACAAAGAGATAGGAAATATACAAATGGAGGTAGAAAACATAAAAATGAACCAGTCAGAAATGAAGACAATAATTATTGAAGTGAAGAATACATTAAGAGGAAATCAACAGTATATTACATGAAGGAGAGGATCATATCTGCAATTTGGAAGACGAGGTAGAGAAAACACCCAGTCAGAACAGCAAAAAGAAAAAAGAATTTAAAAAAAAAGAAGATAGTTTAAGGGGCCTCTAAGACAACATGAAGCCTACCAACATTTACATCATGGGGGTGTCAGAAGGAGAAGAGAGAGCACAAGGGATTGAGAACCAATTTGAAGAAATAATGACTGAAAACTTCCCTAAACTGACGAAGGGAAAAGATATACAAGAATAGGAAGTGCAGAGAGTCCCAAACAAGGTGAACCTAAAGAGCCCACACCAGGATACATAATGAAAATGGCAAAGGTTATAAACAAAGAACCTTAAAAACAAGAGAAAACCAGTTAGTTACCTGAGACTGTCCGTTGATTTCTCAACAGAAACTTTGCAGGCAGAAGAGAGTGGCAAGAAATATTCAAAGTGATGAAAAACAGAAACTTACTACCAAGATTACTCTATCCAGCATGGCTATCATTTAGAATCGAAGGTGAGATAAAGAGCTTCCCAGACAAGAAAAGGTTAAGGAGTTCACCACCACCAAACTAGTATTACAAGAAATGTTAAAAGGTGTTCTTTTAAGAAGAAAAAAAAGATCAAAAATATGAATAATAAAATGGCAACTACTTATAAACAATTATTTTAAATGTAAATGTATTAAATGTTGCAATCAAAAGACGTGGCTGAATGAATAAGAAAACAAAACCCTTACGTATGCTGCCTATAAGACCCACTTCATATCAAAAGACATATACAGACTGAAAGTAAAAAGATGGAAAAAGACATTTTATGCAAATGGAAATGAAAAAAAAAAGGAGGAGTAGCAATACTTATATCAGACAAAATAGACTTTAAAACAAAGGCTATGAGTCAAAGAAGGACCCAGCAAGTTCACTTTTGGGCATTTAAAGAAACCCAAAACAGCCCTAACCAGTTTGGCTCAGTGGATAGAGCATCGGACTGCGGACTCAAGGGTCCCAGGTTCGATTCCGGTCAAGGGTACCTTGGTTGCGGGCATATCCCCAGTAGGGGGTGTGCAGGAGGCAGCTGATCAATGTTTCTCTCTCATCGATGTTTCTAACTCTCTATTCCTCTCCCCTCCTCTCTGTAAAAAATCAATAATATATATAAAAAAAGAAGCCCAAAACACTAATTCATAAAGGCCTATGAACCCCTGTGTTCATTGTAACATTTACAATCCCAGAACACTAACTCATAAAGGCCTGTGTACCCCTATGTTCATTGCAACATTTACAGTAGCCAAGATATGGAAGCAATCCAGGCATTCGTCGATAAAGAAGATATGGAATATGACTCAGCCATAAAAAGGAGTGAAATCTTGCCATCTGCAATAACATGGATGGACCTAGAGAGTATTAAACTGGGTGAAGTGGGTCAGAGAAAGAAAAGCCATGTGATTCTACTTATATATGGAATCTAAAGAACAAAACAAACGAACAAACAAAGCAACAAACTTACAGATACAGAGAACGTTTGGATGATTGCCAGATGGGAGAGGCTTAGGGGAACTGGGTGAAAAAGGTGAAGGGATTAAGGCAGGGGTCCTCAAACTACGGCCCGCGGGCCACATGCGGCCCTCCAGGTGTTTTTGCCGCTGCTGCCTGTCCTGCTTAGCAGCCAACTCGTCCCAGGCCCACAGTGCGCATGTGTGGAATGTCTGAGGGACAGTGAACTGGCCCCCTGTTTAAAAAGTTTGAGGACCTCTGGATTAAGGAGTACAAATTGGTGCTTACAAAATAGTCATGGGTTTGTAAAATATAGCATAGGGAATTTAGTCAGCAATATTGTAATAACTATGTATGGTGTCAGATGAGTACTAAACTTAACGGTGATCACTTTATAAGTTATATAAATGTATAATCATGATGTCATACACCTGCAACTAATATAATATTGTATGTCAACTGTAATCTAAAAGTTAAAAAATTATTAAAAGATGAGTCGTAATAAAAAAATGTACAGTGTAATAGGGAGATAGAGAAATAAGCAGGGTTTCAGTGCTGTGAAACAGAGCCACTAAGGAGTGAAAAACTGGAAAGGGAGAGATGACACTTGAGCTGAATGTCAAAGGATGATGAGAAGTTGTGTTGAGGAGCAGTGAGGAAGTTAGTTTTAGGAAGTTAGTGGGCAGCAGTGACGAAGGTGGTACAAGCCATGGGTTATTTGAGGTGGCATTAGGTTGAATTCAGCAAGTCTTTTAATTACTGCAGTGAAGAGCACACGATAATAATGCAGATGTTTGTTGATCTCATAAGGGCAAGGAATTTGTATTCATTATATCACTGATAGAGTAGAGTAATCTTGAGAGCAAGGAATTCACATAGTTTGGAAATGGTTGAAAATTGGCAGTAAAAAAGGAATCTAGAAATGGACCGAGATTTAGAACTGTTAAAAGAACAGGAGTATTCGAATTTTAAGGGCAGCGGCAGTGGGGCGCACTATGGAGCATGGGGCAGAGGGGTTCTGGGAGTTGCTGCTGGTGCCCTGCTGAAGATGCCAAAGAAGCCGGAGCTGAGAGGAAAGCAGTTTCCAGACTTCGTGCCTGTGGACGTCAACACAGACGCCATTCCATTTAAAGATAAAACCAGAGAAGAGCAGAGGCTGAAACAGCTGGCAGCAGAGAAAAGAGAAAACAGAAAATGAAGGGAGGAGAAAATTCATAAAAAATAAAGCTTGGTCGAAGCAGAAGGCCAAAAGGGAAAAGAAAATTAATAAAAAAAGGAAAAGGGAGGTGGGTTCTGAATTTGAGGATGAGGACATGGAGGAACTTCTGAACAACACACGGCTACTGAAGAAGTGTAAAAAAGGCAAAATCACTGAAGAAGAATTTGAGGAGGGGGTGCTGATGAGTGCCCAAGGGTCTACCAGGCAGCGGGTTTGGGGACCTGGGATGTGGAGAGGGACAGCTGATTCTGGAGCTTCAGGTGAGCGGCGGGAGTGCGCCCACATGTGGCAGCTGCCTGCAGCGCCTTTCCCTGTGAACAGGACCTCAGCCCACATGCTGTCCTTTCAGGCTGGGGAGATAGGAGGGCTTGCACACGTATGAATGTTTTACTACAAGCATACCAGCCATGAAGTCCAACAGAAGATGTAAATTATTTGGTATAAATAATAGATGGGTCGCCTATAATTAAAGAGCTCATTTTTGGGGGCTTATTTTATACATACACTAGAGGCCCAGTGCATGGAAATTCATGCATTGGAGGGGGGTCCCTCAGCCCGGCCTGCCCCCTCTCACAGTCTGGGAGCCCTGAGGGGCGGGAGGCGACCTGGTGATCAGGGGAAGGCGACGTCCCATCACACCTCTGCTGCTGCCACTGTCGGCAGCGCAAGCCTCGGGCGGCCCTGGGGGGCTTAGGGGACTGGGGGACTCTGGAGGCAGGCGCCCCAGCAGGGCTGAGGGGACTGGGCGCCGCCATCTTTGAGGGCGGGGCAGTCAATTAGCATATTCCCTCCTTATTGGCTGTGGGTGCCACCATCTTGGAGGGCGGGGCAGTCAGTTAGCATATTCCCTCCTTATTGGCTGTGGGTGCCGCCATCTTTGGGACAGCGTGAGGGTCAATTAGCATATTCCCTCTTAATTTGATAGGATATTAAATATCTTTTTATTGATTTCAGAGAGGAAGGGAGAGAGAAGCATCAGTGATTAGAGAGAATCATTAATCGGCTGCTTCCTGCACGCCCCACACTGGGGATTGAGCCCACAACCTGGGCATGTGCCCTGACTAGTTCATAGGTCGATGCTCAACCACTGAGCCACACCAGCTGGGCTATACTTATTTTTAATAGACATACTGGTGTGGGCTTGATTTCAGGCTTTTTCAAGTTCCCTAGAGCTTTCAGGCTCCCGAGCTCCCTGCATGTCCTTGTCCCTGGACTGCGTTCTCTCTTCTCGTTCCTGAAGGTTGGATTACCCACTTCCCTGGGCGCCCCCATGTGCTCCTTCATGTTCTCTCTGTTTCAGTAACGGTCACCTGAAAGCTCTTTCTTTGTTTGCAGGTTCATCTCTGCACTAGACTATGAGCCCCTTGGCAGGAGGAGTCGGGTCGTACTCATCTCTAGGTCCCCAGCGTCCCCTGCAGTTCCTGGTGCAGAGTGAGTGACTGGCAGCTCTTTAAACTGAGACCATGTTTAACCGTCAGACTCCATACGTATTGATGACTGACTATGCCTGTGTGGGCCCAGCAATGACGTCATCATGGAAAATAGGGCTGTAGACTTGCACTGCTTCTGTGCTTGGGGTCGCCCTGGGTGAGACAGAGCCGCGCCCCTCTCACATGGCGCTGTCCTCGCGCTCAGATCCCAGAATGTCTACAGCAGCCGCTGTCGAAGGGCCACACCCCTTCGTGTTGTGAATGAGGTGTGGGAACTGTGTTGACATTAACCATTTTAGTTGCGGTGTCTATCCCCTTTCAAGGAAGACGGTGCCGTTTCTGAACCATGTCTGTCGTGTCTCGCAGTTCAAGACGACAGCTCCTGGTCATCGAGGCGTGCACTCGGAGTGGGGGGTCTTGGGGGCCAAGTGAAGGCAGCAGCAGCCTGGGCGGGAGCTGGGGTCCCGGCAGTAGAGGGAACGGTCCTTCACTCGCTGGCCCAGATTCCCAGTCTGCACAGTGTTTTCTTATTTTTTGTTAATCCTCACCCGAGGATATTTTTCCATTGGTTTTTAGAGAGAGTGGAAGGGAGGGGGAAAGACACAGAGAGAGAAGCAGTGATGTGAGAGACACAACGATTGGTTGCCGGGGATCAAGCCTGCAACCAAGGTTTGCTCTTGACTGGAATCAAACCCAGACCCTTCAGTCCGTAGGCCGATGCTCTATCCCAGGGGTGGGCAAACTTTTTGATTCGAGGGCCACAATGGGTTCTTAAACTGGACCAGAGGGCCGGAACAAAAGCATGGGTGGAGTGTTTGTGTGAACTAATATAAATTCAAAGTAAACATCATTACATAAAAGGGTACGGTCTTTTTTTTTTTTTTAGTTTTATTCATTTCAAACGGGCCGGATCCGGCCCGTGGGCTGTAGTTTGCCCACGGCTGCTCTATCCACTGAGCCAAACAGGCTAGGGCCTGCAGTGTTTTAGACATCACAGTTCTTCTCAAAGAACTGACCCTGTGCATGTTTGTCTCTATTCTCTACAATTACCCTTCTGTCTAATTCACTAATCATGTCCCTCGGTTTTCTTCTAATCTCCTTCCACGCAGATGAATGTCTTCACCTGGCCGTGGGTCCTCAGTCCTGCGCAGGAAGGCGTGTCTTTTCCTTGGCAGACTGAGTGCACGCCTCCACGAAAGCTGTGCCTTTCTCTCCTTGCTGACCTCCCATCCCCCGAGGGTACTGACTCGCCCTCGCCTGCACCACCCTCGCCTTCTGTCATTCTTCAGATTTTTAAAGTTCGTAATTTGAGCATTCCGGTTTACATGTAATATATGGAGGTTAGTCATACAAGCGAACGTTCGGGAACTAACCACTCCCCTTAAGAGCGAGGTGAGTCCCGCACAGTTAGAGTTGCCGTGAGTGCTGCTGTGACCCCGCGAGCCTCTCTCCCCCCAGCCCCGAAGTGACTGCTGTTCTGAACTGTTTTCTTAAATCTCCTCTTTTTATAATAGTGTCCCCACAAATATGTTTCTTTGTTTCGAGTTTTATAATTTTTGTTTATAGGCTTTTTAAAACTTGCACAAATAGTATTTTATTATGGAGGGCAGTATAATTTACAAATGTTTATACAATTTAAAAAAACACATTCAAACATCATAAAAGAATACATAGGAATCTCTTCCCCTCGTGTTGGTCTTCCCGGTCAGCTTGGCAGGCAGCACACTTACAGCCCTGACCTTGAAGGCTGCGTTTTTCAGGTGTCGTTGGCTCAGGTGCAGGTTTGGAGTCCTGATCCTCTGCCACGTTTCCTTTCAGACTCCTCCATCGTCATCCCCCCCTCTGGGACCTGCGGGAGTTCCCACTTTGGGGACACGCCCCCACTACTTGATTTTCACCTTCCCAGGTTGGTCCTTCCTGAGATGGCTGAGCCGGAGCCACTTCCCCACCACTCGGTGGATCTCTCCTCTGGCCTCAGCGGGATGCACACGTGACCCCCCTACCCCCGCCAGCCTTACTGTGAGCAGCCAGTCAGGTCTGGAAGGCTCAGGGGTGGAGAGGCCAGTCTTCTGCTTTCCTGAGGATTCACCTTCCGGGGACAGCTCACTCTGTCCTTCGAGCCCCCTGGTCTGACCTCTGACAGATGGGGCTGAGGTCCCGGTCTGAGATGACTCACTGGTGTCTGGGCCATTCCTGAGCCCGAGTGTCTTCACTCTGCAGGCTGTGTTGCCGAGGCTGGCGTGCTGGTTTTGGTCCATCCGGCCGAGGCTGTGATTCTTCCTGGGCCTCTGCCGCTGCTCTTACACTTCCCGTCCTCCCCGAACGGGTCTGCAGACTCTGTCCTCCACAGATGAGCGGCCAGATCGGAGGCACTGGAGGAACAGTCCTCTTCCAGGAGAGCTCTGAGGCTCTGCTTAAACTCAGGGTGTGGGGGGCCTCTGTCATCAGCCTGGGAGCATCTGAGAGTAGTCATCTTTGGAGCTACTCGACCAAATGTCCCACCTGTCGTGTGTTGGTCTCTCTACCATCGGCTTTCTCCGTCGTCATCACCCCTGTGGTCCACTACACAGCCTGTCTGCCACCATGTGTCCTAAGTCATTGCGTCTGCCACAGCCTCTGCAGCCTCACTGGTCAGAGTAGTCTTGGCACCCTGTTGTGTGACTCAGTGGTTGAGCAAGGACCCTGGAACCAGGAGGTTGCCAGTTCATTTCCTGGTCAGGGCACATGCCCGGGTTGCGGGCTCCATCCCTAGGGGCGTGCAAGAGGCAGCCGATCGATGATGTTCCTCTCTCATCATTGATATTTCTCTCTCTCTATTGCTCTCCCTTCCTCTCTTTCTAAAAACCAATAAAAAGATATTTTTAAAAAAATAGTCTTGGTCTCCATAACCATCTCCCTGCTTGTGTCAAAGGTGCCGTCCCCTCTCCCAGGTGCATACTCATTAGAGCTGTCTGCAGCAGGGCGCTGCCTCCGCCTGTGTTTGGTCGGAATCCTGGTTTCTTTCTTGCTATGTTTTTTTCAGAATCCTGGTTTCTTTCTTGGTGTCTTTACTCAGCCATATCCACACGGTTCTGTTACCTGGAGACTCCGCATGAGGCTCAGGGCGCTGCTCACGGTGCTGAGCGGGGGGGGGGGGGGGGGGGGGGTCCAGGTTCTCAAACTCCGCGTCATTGGAACCTTTCAGGTTCTCTGAAGCAGCAGTCACCAACTGGTGGTCCGCGGACCACTGGTGGTCCATGAGGTCCAAAAGGTTGGCGACCGCTACTCTTCACTGGTAATCACGCCACACTGATAGCTCGTCCTCCAAAGAGCCCCCCAGGCAGACTATGTCATGCTGCAGGCTGGGTTCCTAGAAGAGTCATGCAGGGTGGCAGTTTGGGAAGATGGCCCTGGTGGATACTGGTTCCCAAGCAGCCTGTGGAGCGGCGGGCAGGGTGCAGTGGGCAGGGAGCTGCCTTATGCTGGGTGTCATCGTTCTGTGCCAGGCAGTTGAAACACCTTCCTGTGACTGGTCGGGACATAGACACTTCCTTTCCTCACAAGTGCGACCATCAGCCAGTCTGTGGGGAAGAGGCGTCTGAAGTCTGTTGGAGCAGGGGAACGAGGTGGAGCGCAAAAGGAGGCCGTTTTTAAGCCTGCGAATGGGGAGTGTTGTCTGCTTCCTGAATTGAACCTTGTATCATTTCCCTTGTTCTCCTTAGTAACGCTATTTGCTGTTGTAACTAATCCCAGTTTTTTTTCTGTTTATATCTGCCTGGTTTGTCCCTTTCATATTTTTGCTTTCATTCTATCAGTATTTTTATTTTGTAGGCGTCTCCTATCTCCTGAATTAGTCCCTGTGCCTGGTTCTGGTGGTTCTGTATTTGGACCCTTACCTTGTGCTTTCTGATGGTCCTGGCTATGTATTTATTCCTGTTTTTCCCCAGCCTAATTGTACTCTCTCCTTTGCTACTTGTTTGAAGGTGTTCCCCTCTTATTGCCGTCTTTTGTGCTTGCACAGTGTCAAGTTAGACCCTGTCCACCCGCTGAGCAGTGCTGGGTCCACACCCAGCTTCCGCCCTCGCCCTGGCCTCCTCTGTGTGCTTCTGTTCCTGTTCCACGTTTTGATGGTGTAAACTCTTTGTTTAAACATTGTAATAAGATGTTACAGTTGCTTGATTCCCACAGTGTTTATTTAGGTTTTCTTTTGTGCTACGAGTTTCTTCACTGTCTGTCCCTCCTGTATCTCAGATCATCTGTGGAAGTTTTACTCTGGGATGGTCCGTCTTAGATCGTCTTGAGTAAAGGTCTTGGCTTTTGGCTCCCCTGGCAAAGTCCAAGGAGTTTGGTGATGCAGCTTTGCCTCGGTCCCCTGTAAGTGCATGTCCTGCTGCCCGTACTCCTCCTGCTGTCCCTGCGAGACTGCTGTCACATCACTCCTCCTCGCTGCTTTTGCACGGTCTCTGTTCTGCTGTCCTGCAGTTTCAGCACTGTGTCCCAGGTGTGGATTTGTTTCTCTAGCCTCTTCTTTTTTTAAAAAAATACGTTATTATTGATTTTTTTAAAGAGAGAGGAAGGGAAAGGGAAAGAGATGGAAACATTGATCGGCTGCCTCCTGAGTGCTCCCTACTGGGGGATCAAGCCAACAACCTGAGCATCCAGGAATCGAACCAGAAACCTCTTGGATCATGGGTTGACACTCAATCCACTGAAGTCACACTAGCTGGGCTCCAGCCTCTTTTATATGTTGTGCTTCTTAGAATTGTGCATAAATGTCCATCATTAGTTCTGGAAAACTAAGTCATTTTTCTCTCTTAGTATGACCTCCTTTTTCTTCATTTTCTGGGACTATGAGTAGACAATATATGTCAGATCTCATTTTTTTCTACCTATCTTTTACAGTCTTTGGTACTTTCCATTTGTTTATTTAGCACTCCTTCTAAATGATTTTTTTCAGATTTATATTCAAGTTAATTGATTATCTTATGTTTTTTTAATCTGAATAAACTATGGATTTTAGTT